ATGGGGTAGGACTAGATAAGTCTAACTTCTTCCTACTCCGTTCAAGCATGTACTAGGTATAAGCAAATTGATAATGCATTTGTGGATATGTGTGAAATTATGTGTGTTGACATATTGACTGTCTTTACATGTTTGAAAGAATAAATCAAATCAAATCAAATCTAAAATCATTATCCATAAAATATTGAGGGTAGTTACTCTTGCTGGAACTGTTTCTAATCAGTTTATTTAATATATTCCAAGTACCTCATGTTATTTTTATTAAAGGAGTGCCTTCTCTATTACATCACCTGTGAACAACACTGTGTTCAGCCATGTCTCCTTTCACTGCAGCGTTTTTAATGTTTCTTTCCTTCACTCTGTCTTTTCTAGAATGTGTGTTTTATCACGCCCCAGTTTTTATACCAGTTCTTCTGTTTGTTTTCACAACAAGTAAGTCATTTTACTGTATCTCTCCATTTCTCTTGCTTTTTCATATGTTTTATTCCTGGTTTTAATGTTGCATAGTCCTTCATTTATGTCATTTTACTGGACAGACAGTAGTGATCATATTGTAATGAATCTGTGTGATATCCAGGTTGATTTCCATTTTTAATTTTTATTTCCATTTTTAATTTGTATTTTTAAGATTTAAACACCTCAATCAGAAAGAACTTCATTGTAATTCAGTCATTTTGAGTTGATGCCACACTGAAATGGTGAATTTCTCATTTGGCATTTTAGTTCTTCAGATAGTAATGTGACACATCTTTGGAAATTTGGAATTTTTTTTTTTTCCCCCAAGCAATCTTGGCATTATGTGTGCTGCTAAGGCTTTAATCTGTTAATTTAGTCCTGCTCAAAGATGATATAACATGTAATATGTCTATAATATACCCTGTGTATACACATCAAGTATGTTCATACTTTTTCCATATATCTGACTCACCCTGATTTCAACCTCACTGCCTGTTTTGTTAAAGCTAGGTTAAATGAGTAAGTCATCACTTTCAGCAAATATGTTGAAGTTGAGTGAATTGCTGCCTCTTTCCATCCTAGACACTGTACGACAGTGTTTATCTGACATTGTACAACATCTGCTTCACGTCACTGCCCATCCTGGTGTACAGTCTGTTTGAACAGCTGGTCCATCCAGACGTACTGCAGAGCAAACCATGCCTGTACAGGTAAGGCTGTGTGTAATCTGTAGCTGCAAACTGTTTATGGGTAGCTGCTTTGTTCAAGTTTAGTATATTTAAAATGTTTGACTTTGCTGCCATCTGTATACTGTTTGGTCCATAATTCATTAACTACTGTTTCTGAATCACTCAACTTAAACTTGGATAAGTATATACACTGTATCCAACAGAGACATCAGCAAGAACTCTCTGCTGTCTTTCCGGACATTCCTGTACTGGACTGTGTTGGGCTTCTGTCACGCCTTCGTCTTCTTCTTTGGATCCTACACACTGATGGGAGAAGATACCACACTTATGGGCAATGGACAGGTGTGTGTTTGTCAGTGTGTGTATCATGTGCTTTATGTTTTAAGTCAATAATAGAATCCCTACAAAAGAATTTGGCCCGCTGAAAGGATTTTCCAGTACTATATGAGGAAAGTGTCATTTCAGGGCATAAACAAATGCAAGAAAACTTTCAGTTCAACACATTGTGTGTGTATAAATGTTCTCATGAGATGCTCTTACTGATGGGGCTGGTTGCCTGCTGGTATTTCTGCAGTCACTTTTTCCCATGGATCTCTTTTTTATGTCATTCTCATTCTGTCTTCTTGTTTGTCTCTATTACCGTAACAGCATGTATGTCATTAACTTGTTAATACACGTTCAAGTACTTCTATCTTTTCTTGTTATCATGCCATTTATACCTCTGGTCTTCACTAAATCTGTTTCATTCTTTTCTTTTCCTCTCTGACGTATTTCAGAACTTACATCTGTTGCTCTCTTTTCTTCGCTTGTCTTTTCTTCTATCTTTTGTTGACTACCTTTTTCCTTCGGCCTTCACGCTGTGCATGTCTTCAGATCTTGCGAGCTAACAGGCAGCTGGTAAGAGTTCTCTACAGTTGAATGCATGTCTTCTTGGGGGGAGGACTCTCAGGAACATTCTACAACATGTTTTTGTATTGATGATTTAGACAAATATGAATTTTCATACCTATACCCTAGAGCACATGTGTCAAACTCAAGGCCTGCGGGCCACATCCGGCCCGCGAGATCATTTTATATATCTTTTTTTAATAGCCCGGTGATATGAAGCGCTGATAACACATAAAGTACAAATCCCATAATGCAGCGCAACAGCTGCCTTACCGAACGATAGGCTACCTGCGATCATTCCCGGGTCAATTACGTGACATCAGTCAAGCGTCTGTTGATGTATACAACCCTAATTTCAAGTCAAAGCTAGCCCCTAACAATGGCCAAGAGAAAGGTTGATACTGAAAAATAGAGCCTTTCAAAACCGGTGGGAGGCTGAGTATACGTTTACTGACATTGTCGGTAAACCCGTGTGTCTTATTTGTGGAGCTAATGTGGCTGTAATTAAAGAATATAACCTAAGACGGCACTATGAGACAAAACATCAGGACAAGCTGAAAAACGTAAATGCAGAGCAGAAGCTACAGAAGGTAGAGGAGTTGAAGAGGAATCTGACATCACAGCAGACGTTTTCACCAAAGCAAAATCACACAGCGAAGCTGCTGTGAAAGCAAGTTTTATTGTGGCAGAGGAGAAAATCAGCCTGGTCATTTGCCGAGGGAGAGTTTATGAAGAGCTGCATGATGAAAGTGTGCCACGTCTTGTGTCCAGACAAAAAGTAGGTGTTTGCAAATGGAAGGCTTAGCAGAAATACGGTTGCAGATTTTAAGTTCAGGTTTATTTATTTTGGAATAATATTGTATCCTGTCTGTTTCGATTCATATTTATGTTCAATAAATGTTTATCCTGTTCGGCCCACGACCTAAAGTGTGCTTTGGGTTTTTGCCCCCCTGTGCGATTTGAGTTTGACACCCCTGCCCTAGAGCATATATTCATATGACCTAATTTTTGAATTCATGACACACAGCACCACTTAGGCTTTCCTTTTCTAAACTGAAAATGAGCAGTGTGACAGCAGTTATAAAACATGCAGTGGCTCATTGAACCCAGATGGATCGGGCAAGTCGCAGTCAGTTTGACCCCACCATTTTCCCTTAAAGATAATTGTGTGTTCACTTCACCATTCCATGGCTCTTGCTTGAATACAGTATTAGTATTAATGTGTCTTCTCAGACACGCTCACACACTGTAACAGGCCACAGAAATTCACACAGATTTATTATTACCTGTAAAATATAAAAAACAAACTTCAAATGTAGGCTCCTCTTGTCCCATTATATGCTGTAGATTTGTTGAAAAAGTCGGCAGATGCAGAGAAGAACTACTAACTTGTTCATAGATTCAGATATATATTTTTTTTTTACTCTTTAGAGTAACAGGTCAGTTTGTACTTCGATTATGATAAATCTGGACAGTGTGCAAAGGTAACAATGGCTGATGTAATATTATAAACAAAGGGGGCACACAAAGCAGGCTTTGTGAAGGATTTGGTTAAAAAAAAAGTTTTTTAAATTGCAGCATAAATAAACAAAAGCACATGTACCTCTGCCAAAGCAGAACATTCACTCTCAAATGGGTGTCTTGTGAAATATGAGATCTCGAACAACACAAAATATGTCCTAAAATCCTTGATCTGGATAATCTTTTAGGGTATGATAGGCAGTTATACTGTGGATCTTATCTGAAGATTTCAGGGTTCTGTCTTCATTATAGACCAAGTTATGGCAGAAAATGTGTTAAATGGGGTTTTCATTTCATAGATCTTAAACAGTATTCCTTTAAAGTTCCCTGAATTGTTGTCTGCTTCACTGAGTGTCTCTGTAGATAGATCCTACTCCACTGCCTATTAGTTTGCAGTGCTCAGACTCCAGCAGGGATCTGAATTGGCTGGCAACAAAATGGTGCCCCCACAGCGCTCAGCTTCTACCCAGGATGTTTCTCGTAGCAAGCAGTGGAGATGCCGATGATAGACTACAGGAAGAAATTGCAGAATTACAGTTGCATACGAACTGTTATTGTACCACATGTTTAATATGTTACCATGTTGTTTTAGTAGCATTAATTGGGTCCTCATATTTAGTTTTTTTGTTGTTGCAGTGTCTTGGTGCCTATAGATTTTAACTGTCTGTTTTTGTATTGTAGATGTTTGGGAACTGGACATTTGGAACGCTGGTCTTTACTGTCATGGTCATCACTGTCACATTAAAGGTAAATTACACAGCAAAAGGAGGTAGCCTGTTCTTTTAGGAATTGTGAAGTATTAGGATGATGTCAGTGGCCATTAACTGGAGAGAATCGCCTGTCACAGGCTGGGGTCAAGGCCTTTTTTTTTTTTACAGCATAAACACATATTGCTGTAGTTTATTGCTGCTCCTGTCTCAGTGTTTTACACCTGCCTTTTTCCCTCTCCCTACTGGGTGTGTGTCTGTGTGTAATGACAGCTTGCTTTAGAGACTCATTTCTGGACCTGGATGAACCATTTTGTGACATGGGGTTCGATTGCATTCTACTTCATCTTCTCTCTCTTCTATGGCGGCATCATCTGGTAAGAACAGCTTTCAGATTTCTTATTTTTAGCTGCTATTGCTTTGCTGTGAAGTTAGATGCTTCCTCTTCTCACATTATATATCTATGTACTGCTAGGAGCCTCCATAACACACCTATAGTGAAATACCTAGATTTGGAAAATGTATTTGTAATGCCATATAGCAGAATTTCAGAAAGAACAAAGTGTAAAGTGGTTATATAAGGGACTGTATATGATGTTTATTTTTGTCTTTATATGATTTCAAAAAGCTATAGAAGACCATATTTGTATTTGTTTTTGTATCTGAGTGGGAGTAGTGGGATTTGCTAGGAGGAGTGACATTTTTACCCAAATCATGATGTTTATTTATATTGTAGTAAAATCACATTAAGAATAATATAGAAATATTTTCCCCTCAACTTCCCATTTGAACATAATCGCCTACAACAAGAGAGGGAATATAAATTGATTTTTTTATGATCCTGATGTTAATGTCTTGAGGTGAAACAGGCTGATTTACACCAGATACCAGTCTTGGCACTTGGCAGATGCCATAAATCACTGATGCTTTGTTAGAATCATCTATTGTGATCTGGTGGTGTGTGGGATTGATTAGATTACTTTTAACCTCTCTACCTAGGTACAGGCAAATCAGACTGGTAGGAGCCTTCCTGATAGCACTGCACCATAACTGATATTTATGACCTGACATTTGCACAGGTTGTTAATTTCTGTACTGTCTGGAATAATACAATTATCCTAAGTGCAAGACTCCAGCTGCCAGAGAGACCTGGATTTACAGTGAAAAGAGCAAAGCAACTTATTGCGGTGTATGACCACTCTCATCTCCCTCCAGGCCGTTCCTCCATACCCAGG